CACAAACACCCTGCACCTCCCTCCCTGCACCCTGCTTTCCCCCCACACCTCCTGTCCTTCCTGCCTCCTGCCCTGCACCCCCACAACCCTGCTGTGCCTCCCATCCACTCTGCACCCCTGGACCCCTAATCCCTCCCTGCACCCCTGGTCCCTCTGCAGCCACCCTGCACCCCTCACCACCCTCCTTGCACCCCCATATACCCCTGCTGCACCCCCTGTGTGGCCCTGCACCCCTTTCCATCCTGCAGTCCCCCATCCAGCACCCATCCTGTACCCCTCTGTATCCCTGCACTGCTCCTGTACCCCATCTATGCCACATCCCCCAGCACCTTCTGTGTCCCTGCCCCCATCCTGCACCCCTTCATGCCCCCTGCACCCTCTGCCCCCATCCTGCACCCTTACTTCCCCCCCGTATCACTCCTTGCACCCATCGTGCACCCCTTTATCCCTCCCTTCACCCCCTCTGCACCCTTTTACCCCACCGTGCCCATCCTGCACCCCTCTGTGTCTCCCCATGCACCCCCATCACCCATCCTGCACCCCTCTGTGTCCCCCCATGCACTTTATGTCCCACTGTACCCTTCTTTCCTGCACCCCTTCCATCCTGTGCCCCTGTATTCCCCCTGCACCTATCCTGCACCCCTCTGTATCCTCCATGCACCCATCCTGCTCCCCTTCATTCCCCCTGCACCTTCTGCCCCATCCTACACCCTTGCATCCCCCCTTACCCCCTGCACCCATTCTGCACCCCTGTATCACTCCCTGCACCAATCCTGCACCCTTTCACCCCCCCTGCATCCTCTGCCCCCATCCTGCACCCTTACATCCCCGCTGTATCACTCCATGCACCCATCCTGCACCCCTTTGTCCCTCCCTTCATCCCTCCTGCACCCTCTGCCCCCATCCCGCACCCTTGCATCCCCTCTGTATCCCTCCCTGCACCCATTCTACACCCCTTCATACCCTCTGCACCCCCTGTACCCGCCCCCATCCTGCACCCCAGCACCCACCCAACCAG